ATTATTATTATTATTATTATTATTATTATTATTATTATTATTATTATTATTATTATTATTATTATTATTATTATTATTATTATTATTATTATTATTATTATTATTATTATTATTATTATTATTATTATTATTATTATTATTATTATTATTATTATTATTATTATTATTATTATTATTATTATTGACCAGAAAGAAAGAAAGAGAGAGAGAGCGCGCAACCCACTAGGTCCAGGACTCGAACCACAGTTAGCCATGTGGGAGTCCAGCACCTTTAATCACCACACCACCTGCCAGCCCCTCTGCTAGCTTCTTGGAAGGGATGAAGGAAAGAGCATGAAAAACAGGTGTCCCATGCAGGATAAGCTTCTCTGGGCATCTCTAAATGTCTCTGCTGTCCTTCTGGACTTACTAGTTGATACCTTCCTTCTCCAAATATTGCTACAAGTTACAACTAAAGTCGAGGCTCTTGCCATGCAATCAATGTATTAGGATATCTCTCTTCCAAGACATCCTGTGGATTGAAGCCACTGGACACAACCCGAATTTCATCGAAGGTCCTGGAACCTGTGTGGACCACTGAGTCCTCCTGAGAGCACTGACACTGTCTGGCTGGAACACACCGACAGTGCACATGGGGCTATTTTTGCCCACTTCCTCACAAGCTAACCCTCCTTGAGGGAAGGAATGATACCTAAACATCTTCCTCACTGGATGTGGTGGTGAGCTCTGAACTGGGAATCAATAAAGTTTAGTGAATGCAATTAACTATTCTCGTCCACTTCGGGTTATTTACCGTGAAGAAGTTCTTACGCGTGTCAAAGATGTTCAATGCAGTAAAAAAATTATAGGGCCAGTTGGTGGTAGGGTGGTTAGGGTAGCTGGATCCCACAAGGCCAATATCGCGGTTCAAGACCCAAACCTGACAGCTTGAAAAACACACTGCAGGGAACCAGCAGTGAGCGTAATGGCTATGTCGCTGGACTCCCACGTAGTCAACCGCGGTTCGCGTCCTGGACCCGGTGGCTTAAAACTCACGCTGGGCGCATGTGCGTGCGTGCCCAAGATCCCGAGAGGAGAATGGAGGAGAAGGGATTGCGGCATGACCATCCCCCCTGGGGGGTGATTTCTCACTTTCTGTCTCTATGTCTCTCTCTGTCTGTCTGGAGAGTACACGCGCCCTATAGCGAAAATCTCTCAAAAAAAACCCAAAAAAACAAAACACACACACACACTGCACCTGTGTGTCTGGATGCCCAAAATCTCAAGAGGAGAATGGAGAAGAAGTGTGTGGCCATCCTCCCAGGGGGTGCCTTTTCACTACCCCCGCTTCTGTCTCTATCTGGCAAACACACGCCCGACAGCCAATTAAAAACTAAATACAATAGTACAGGACTATGAACCGTGAAACGGATACATAGGGCTCATTGTCAAAGGACAGAGTATGGTGACTCCTAGCAGGGTAAGCTGGATCTGTACATGCCAACACGTCATCTTTTTCAAAGTCATGGCTGAACAGGAAAAGCATGAAGCACTGAGCATACAACACGGATTGATAATGAACTTGTAAATTAAATACACATCCTCAAAAAAAAAAAAAAAAAAAGGAAACCCGTATAAACAAATGTAGACAAATGGAATTAAATGAGGTCCCCTAAACTCCTGACAGACTCGACTTCTGAGGAATGGGCAGCAGAAAAGTTAAAGGGGATCTCGGCTACAGCTGAAAGCGTTTATTCCAGGACAGATGTCCACGATTTCTTGTTCGCAGTGGAGGGAATACAGAGACTGCTAATCCTTGCATCTTCCTCTCGGCTGTCCTGTCTTGTGCTCTTCACCCACCCTACCCTGTCGATGATGATGTATCAATCAACTAAGCTATCTTTTTTTTTTTAAGAGAGTTTTTGCTATAGGGTGTGTGCACTCACCAGAGAGACAGAGAAAGATAGAGAGATAAAAAAGGAGAAATCACTTCCAAGGTGGGATGGCCACACCGCAGTCCCTTCTCCTCTGTTCTCCTCTTGGGATCTTGGGCACACATGCGCACATACCTGGCATGATTGTTTTTATTTTTTGAGAGGTTTTTGCTATAGGGTACATGTGCTTGCCAGAAAGACAGAGAGACAGAAGTGAGAAATCACCCCCCCGGGGGGGATGGCCATACCAAATTCCTTCTCCTCCATTCTCCTCTCGGGATCTTGGGCATGCATGCACACACACCCGGCGTTGAGTTTAAGCCACCGGGTCTGGGACTCGAGCCACAGTCGACTACATGAGAGTTCAGCAATATAGCCATTACGCTAACTGCTGGTCCCCCTGGCATGAGTTTTAAGTCGCCAGGTATAGGACTCGAACCACAGTCAACTGTACTGGAGTCCAGTGACGTAATCATTGTGCCATCTGTGATCCCCTAGGTTGTCTTTTTACACACACACCCACACACACACTCACACACACACTTAGCCAAGACGTATGGCTCATAGATAAGAGATTTTATAAGCAAAGTCAAATTAGTTTCACAAAAGAGGAAGTAAGTTGTGTGTATATAAATATTATAATTCCAAGTATCTCAAAACGGGGAGAAATGGAGTTGGAGCTCTTCCAAATCACAAAACCCTAGCATGTTTGTGTGTGGCCTCGGCATGCCTCCCACTCTGGTGAGAGGACCACAAGCTGTTCACAGTTTCAGCTGGGACAAGGACCGTGAGCTCTTGACAGAAGAAAATGCTTACCTGGCTCACCAAGCAGGAGATGGTGCTTTCAAAAAAAAAAAACGTATGGCTCTCACCACTGAAAGCCTTCAGGTTGGTGGCTGCTAAAGGACAGCAAAAATAAGGGCAATGCAAAAATGAAGGAACCATTTGGAGACTTGGCCGAGGATTAGAGAAGGATTACTGATGCGATATATGCCCCCTCCTTCACAGGAAAAAGTTTATTCTCTGATAAAAGGACTCATGTAATGACAGAATTCCAGGGATGACAAAACAGCCTGTCAAAACAGATGTGAGGAGCCAGACAGTGGCATGGTGGTAACACAACGCTCTCAGAGGCCACCCCCATGGAACCACACCAGGTCTGTGTCCAGAGCCCTCCCTGAACACACTGATGCGTGCCCATGTTCTGTAGGTGGATTCTGGCATGAAGGCCCTAAAAGGGGTACCTGTCTCTCTGTCTATCTCTCTCTTCCTCATCCATGGAAAAAAGAAACTTTTTTTTTATAAAGAATTATCTAATTTTATTTATTCATTCATATTTTATTTATTTATTTTAGAAATTTGATCAGAGAGAGAGAGAGAGAGAACAAAGGAAAGCGAGAAAGCAAGCCACCAGGTGCGGGACTTGAACCATGGTCAGCCATGTGGGAGTGTCCAGTACCTTAACCACCATGCCACCTGCTGGTCTCCGGGAAAAAGAAACTTTAAAACGAAGCTGAATGCTACTCCAAGAAAAGACTAACTTTCTTATCATTCACATAAGAGTGAGAGTGAGGGAGAGTAAGAACCTTCCACAACCCATTGCACCACCGTCCTCTTTCCCCAGCCCTCCAGCTTGTCAGGGTCTCAGACATGTGCGCACACAACCAGCTTGGCCTCTGTAACCTGGGGATCCAAACCCGGTGCTGGCTCCATGGCCTTCCACCACAGCAGTTCGGTTTGCCACCAAGTGCACCACTGGGGCTGAACCAAGAAAAGAGCACTTCTAAGATGATCACATTCGATTTTATCTGCTTTCCGTAACGCTGTCAGCACGGACGACAACAGAAGCTACACAGCAGACAGCCCTAACCTAAAAATCCAAAGTGCTCCAAATCTGAAACGTTGTGAGCACCGACATGATGCCACCGATGGAAACTTCCACAACTGACGTCATGTGACAGGCCTCAGTCAAAATGTTGCAATACAAAAATAGAGTATAAAATTCACTTCAGGCCATATGAATAAGGTACACAGAAAATATAAACTTCCTGTTTAGACAAGTCCCAAATCTGGGGGGAAAAAAAAAAATCCAAAATCTGAAATCCTTCTGGTTGCCAGCATTTTGGATAAGGGATACTCAGTCTGTATTTCTAAAACAAATGAAACTTGTGGCAAATAGCCTACGAATAATTACCTTAAAGGAGGAGGTCAACGATGGGACTCCCGACGTGTGGGGTAATTCTTTTGGAAACAGGACTTGGTTGTTACTTCTAGATACTGTTAACTTGTCTCCCAAGAATCACGGGGCCAAAGCGCAGGTTTTCTTAGCGATACTTGACCAGGTTTCTAAAAATGTTGTACAAAGGCCATTAAGTACAAAAAGGAAACATAATTGTTGACTTTAAATATCCAGGCAAAAGTCACAGTAAATAACAATAATTTGCTTGGCATCTAGTTCCATACAGCATTTCACAGAAATCCAGCATACAATTTGCAAGAAAGTGCCGGCAAATTAATTGTATACTTTCACCTTTTCTTCTCAACTCATGTAAGAGAAGAATAACATTTTACCCCACGTGGAGAAGCCCCGTAGGCCGCATAGGGTTTTGAAAAGAAACTAATCAATAGTATCAACTGAACCTGAGATTAGATTAAACTACAGACAGAGGCAAACAGCCTATAACTGTTAAGAACCATCATTCCCATAGCTTTCAAGCCCCCTTCCCTGATGGCAGGCAACAGGGCAATATGGTTTATCGTGCAGAGACTAAGCCTGGTAACAAAAGGCCACCCTCAGCCCGAGCACTGACACTGGTAATGGTTTGAAAGGCACCTCTTGAGCAAGCCACCACCCGTAAGCTTCCACATTCCTTCACATCTGCCTCGCAAGCCTTATGCGGAGGTCGGCCCAAGGGCACGGGGCTAGCAGCCATGGCCCCAACTCAGAGGAAGGCCCAGGTTCATGTCTAGACTCCTGTGCTAATGATCTGTGCACACGTGGACAAGTGGCTGAACTGGTACACGTGTAATGTGCTGTGTCCTGGAATAGCTGTTACGGTAGATGCTATCTCAAAGGCAATTGCGAACACAAGATGTAACTTGGCCAGCCTCCGTGCCTACCATGATCTCAACGGGGGATTTATGTGCCGAGTATCCAATTCGTCATCAGAAGACCAGCGACTGCCATCTATGGAGCTGGTAACACACAAGAGACACACAGGCTCATTCACAGCATCACAAACCCATTTTACGGGTGGGGAAGCTAAAGCTAAGTAACTTGCTCACATAGCCAGCAGGCATGCGGCAGATGTTGGATAGGAGGTTTAGATCCAGCCCATGGCCTGAAGGTTTAGGGAGCCAGATCTCACATGGCCGACAGTGTAGTTTGAGTCCTGAATCCAGAGGCTAAGAAAACACCCCAAGGCACATGCGCATGTATGTCCAAAATCCCAAGAGGATGCAGAAACAGAGGAGAAGGGACTATAGGTGACCATGTTCGATTCAGGGTGCTTTCTCACTTGTGCTCTCTCTTTCTCTGTCTCTCGATCTCTCTGGCAAACACGCATGGCCTCTTGAAAATACAACAAGAAAAAAGGAGAGAAGCCAGGTTTACCTGAGGCCAATGCTTACGCCCTATCTAGCATTTCACATCCCTGGTGGCGCACCAGAATCACCTGGGAAGCGTATTAAAATCCCAACACATGGGCCACCACCATCCATGCCAAAGAAAGTGTCATTTCTGGGATTGAAGGCCTCAGGCATCGGTATTTTTAAAAGGTCTCTGGGTGATTCTGTCAGGCAGCCATCTTTGGCAACTGTTCAGTCACCTAACCACACCAGACATGGGGTCCTCCCTGAAGCTCTGGCTTCCTCTTGTCCCATACCAAAGCACTCCGTGCTTAACAGTCCAAAAACACCCTGGCCTGTCTCAGTGGCACCGTGGTAGCCCAAGACTCTTTGTGGGGAGGCCCTGGGGTCCCGTGTCTTCTTGGACACATTGTGTGTATACAGGGGTGCTCATGGTCTTCACTGGCTGAAGCTGGGGTGGATTACGGCATGAACATCCTGTTGGGGATGCTGGTCTCTTAAACTTACACACACACTTGTCTGACAGTTATGGAAGTATGAAGTTTAAATGGGAGAGTCTCCGTGGGCGAAAATCAAGGTGGCCCCAGGATTACAATCCTTCTAGGGGAGAATTTGTTTCTGCACCTTTTCTAGCCTTTGCAGGCTGCCCACATCCTCAACCCACGGCCCCTTCCCAGTACCTCCACAGTCACTGACTTTGGGCCAAGGCCTTCTGGGGTTGCCAACCCTTGGGCTCTCTCTTTGGCCTCACCCTTCTGTGAAGGACCCTTGTGGTTACACTGAGCACAGCCTGCATCATCCAGATTAATCTCCCCCACCTCGAGGTCCGATGGTTTCCAACCTGAATCCCACCTGGAACTTTAACTGCCCTTTGCATGGAACATATCCTAGCCTCAGGTCCCAGGGATCAAGGTGCAGACTTCTTTGGGAGCCATGCTTCTGCCTACCACGCCTGGCGAGTCAGCCTTTAGGTGAGGTCAGGGAAAAGCGACTCGCTCTGGAGGGGACCTGAAAGTGGGTCTCAGATTATGAGCCTCTGCCTTGCTTCATAGAGTACAGGGAGGATGTGGTGCACCTCGCCCCTGAGGGACAAGTGGCCTGCCCGGAAGTAGACAGAAGGTCCTCTGTTGATGTCTGAGAGAGAAGGGAAGCAAGAGTTTGCGTTTCTGCCGCTGCAGCAGTCTGTATCAGAGACGCAATCGTGTTCACGAAGGCACGAGATAACCGGGGCTGTGTCTAATTAGATAGTCACATGAGAGATTTCTGCGTGATTCTAAATGCAGCGACTCCACTCTGCTCTGGGGTTAAGAACGGCATGCCACCCATCCTCCCAGCACGCAGAGGCCTGCATCGCATTTTACAAGAGGCTGAAAGTCCTATGCCCCCTACGTTGAATTTCCCTTGCCAGTGGCTACCACAAGAACAAATTCCTCTCAGTAGGGTGTTTTTCGTTGGATTTGAGTATTGGGTTGTTTTTCCGAGCAGGGAAGAGAAGGGAGGGGGACACTTATTAAAAAAAAAAAAATTATGCTTCTAATCCTTAAAAAGACTAAAATAGTTTCATCCTTTCATAACCTGTCATCACGCATGTTTTTCTAAAATTAAACACATATGGCCCAAGCCAGAGTTACATTATACACCATATTATGTAATTATCTTTTCAATTTATTACTCCTCAAAATAGAAAAAGATTAGTCCATGTTTCTTAAGTCTGAGTAAACATATGGCCTGAGGATTGTAAATGACATCCTATCTTTAAAAGAAGTTCCAAGACTAAACAACGTACAATACTCCCCTCAGAGAGGCCATATGTGATATCAGGGTTGTGAGATACAGAACTGTGTGTGCGTGCGTGTGCGTGTGTGTGCCTGTGTGTGTGTGTGTATATATATACATCTTTTTGCTTTCTGGCCATGTCTTTGATGCCGTGAAATAT